AAATATACACACACACGTATCACATATACACACACAAACTCTATAAGTACACTCATAGCATTCTAGTGTATGTACAATAGGTTCTTTGTCATACATGTGATATCAGAGCCTTATCACAACTAACATCTTTATGGCCTAAGTGCTAGATCTAGAAATTAGGTTACCATGGTAAAATAATATTATTTACTGCTTTTTTATAGTACTTGGATGGATAGGGCAACCTTTCCATTGCCGTTTAAATATCTTGGAGACAGAATACACAAAAATGTAACGAGCACACCCAGTTGTATCCGTCTCACTTATTCTACTTACAGTTATTAAATACAAATTGTCCTCAGATGATTTAACGACCCTGAAGTATAAAGAGTTATGCAGCTTCTAACCTTATGAGAGCACAACTGTTCCTGGACCTTTTCTGCAGCCAGCCAGGTAAGGCAGCACAGGGGCCATAAACAGCCTGAGAATTGCAAGCGATGCTCTAGATTCTAAGCATTACCTGCAGTCCCTGGGACATTTCTGAACTCCTAAGCCACATGGAACATCTCCTATAGATGGGGGTGTATTTTACTGAACAGGGAAATGTTTTCTTTAATTTATTTACTGCAAAATCACCCAGCAAATGAACCAAGTCAGTCTTTCTCCAATGATGCAGAGGAAATTATCAAAATACTGAGAGCATGCTACCATCACTGCTTGATGGGTAAGATGACAAATCTTAGCAGTCTGGTAACCTCCTTAAAGACAGGGATATATTTATCTTACCACCTATGATCAGACATATGGGACACACACCATAAAAGTACAAGCAAGCCTTTATTAGGCTCCATGCACATATAGTGTTTGGGTTCCCGCCCGGTTTTCTGTTGTGCGATGGTTGTAAGGTCATTAAAATTTCATATGACCTGCCCATCTTGGACAGGTAGATCGTATTTGCGATCATCGCAAGCCCTCCCCGCTGAGGGCCACACAACTGCCCGTGCGGCTTTCGTCTTCCGAGCACGCTACCAACCCGGCGGGTTTTCCAGCGTGCTAGGAAGACAAAAGTCATGCGACCGCACGCTGCCCATACACCTGCTGATTATCGTACGATCGCGGGATCACCCGCGATTACTGTACGATAATCGGCAGGTGTATGGGCATCTTAAGACCGGTGGGTCAAGGGCTCATCTCTTGGAGTATTTTTGTTCATGGATTTTATTAATAAAAAATTAGATAAAATGTGAAATTCTAATTAAAAGGTGGATCTACCCAGGAATATTTTAGCTGTAAATAAAAGACTAGAGCACCAAGTCCCCAACTGTTGTTATCCCTTGGAGGACTGTCAATGAGATCTCCACCTGCCTGGTAGTTTGGGGTGTTTCCTTCTACTTTGGTGGTGCTCCCCCTCTACTCCTCTTGAATTTTCCATAATAAAAGGAACTAAACATCCGGCCATCATGAGTGTACTCAAAATGTGTGCACACTTTTTCTCCTTTTATGTTAATGGAACGGTTACAAATTTACATCACAAGACATGGGAACCCCATTTTAGCTCTCTTAATAGCTTACCAGCCAGTACGTAGTGTATTGTTCAGAGATGGTGACCTTGCCAGATCGGTGATGTCCATGAAAAGCCGGTGAAAGTAGTGGAGCTGAAGGATACAGGCCAGGAGAAAGAAGCCAGGGATGAGGATGCTGGAAAAGAGCTCCGACACACTGAACTTCTCCAGTCCTAATGCACCCAACCTAAAGAAAAGAAAATAATGCCCAAGAATGAGCTACGTAGGTTTATTTGAAAACCCAGGAGAAGTGACAGTTACTTAAAGGAGGAGAACTATGGGGCAACCTTTTTTGCCCATAGTTCTGTTCTCTTCAGGGTCATGGGAGGTCATATACTAAAGTTCTCCGGTGACCCAAGACTCAGGATATAGCGGGCTATTGTCCGCTATATGCTGAGAGTGCAGAGCTGTGCTGCAGCCGGGACGGATCCCAACAATACTATTGGGATTCACCCTGCTAGCTGATTGACAGCTGGCTTTGCCTCTCTAGGGGCAGAGCCAGCTGTGCCCGCCTCCCTCCCCAGTCTGTTCCTCCAGTTAGCATAGAGAAACGGAGAGGGGAGGAGGGGAATCTCTGACTGAGTCACCATTCTCTGCAGGGAGAGGAAGTCAGCAATCGGCTGTATGCGTTTTCGTTGACTTACCAATTCAATAGAGCCGACCTGTGACGGCTTCAGTGTCACAGGTCGGCTTGAATTATGGGGATGAGTGTTTTTCGCTCATCCCATAATTCTCCTTTCAAACAAGTAATCAATTCTTTGCTAAAAACAATATGGATGCTTTGCTTTCCTCAACTATTAATGAAGATGGAAGAGGGGATACAGTCGCCATGCATGACATAATTATATTCATAGTAGTCAACTGTCCAAGTCATGGGATTAAAACGTAAAAAGAAGTAAAGATAGAAAATTAGGAGAAACCATCAGGGCCCCAGGACAGAGGAGGACCTGCTCCGCCAATCATGGTATAACCACAGAAGAAGGAACTCCACAGTGATTAAATGATAGTGCAAGGCTATTATGCTGCAAGAGGAATCCTGATGGGCCCTCCCTTGTCTTCATTAGATCATGACATGTGGTATCCTGTCAATTTATATGGAGAAGACTTACTGCTGATCTGTGAGGGAAGTCAGGTTTTTCCAGTAAATGGGAAACTCTTCAAACTGGAAGGTGTAGATGGCAATAAGGACCAGCATTGTGTAAGCCACCACCAGCCACCAGAAAAAGTTCAGCAGCTTCCGCCAGAGTGCGTAAAACACCTGAAAGAACAGGCCAGAATACATGCTTAAACAAGGAATAGAAACATATTTCCATCACAATCTCTATTTAAAGAAAACCTGGGGGTCCATAGAGCAGGTACCTTCAAGTGTCTACTTACATCTCCAGATTACCTAAGCCGAGATCCCCAAAAGCAGAGGCACTATTATGAAAATGGCGATCACAGGCCCATACCCCCCCCATCCCTGCACCAAATATGATAACTTTTGTTGCTAGTTCACAACCTAAGCCAATAGCTATCCAAGGGAATATGGATATACAAAATGGGTGGGGCGTGATGACCCAAGGACCGAACTTAATTGGTTCAGGAAAGTGAACCTGTGCTGCTGTTTTAAATTTGCTCATCAGAAGATACAATTATTTTATCTTAAATTTACAAAACTAGGTGCAGAAACTATATTAAATCCCCTCCTATCTATGCAAGATGATAGCAGGTTCATTATAATAGAGCTCAGCTGTCGAATAAGTCTGGACTTACCTTAAAGATGATTAAGCAAAGAAGGAAGAGGAACATATAGACAATTTTGTACACCACCAGCCTGCCCGCAAAGCTAACAATTATGAACATTCCTGCGCATACGTAGATCCAGTATTTGGCATAGAATCCCATCAGCTGCTCTGCTAGAAAATTTAGCAGATGCTTCTTTGCAAGCTGACCTGCAATGAGAGACCATGATCTCCGTGACCCCGATGTCCAAGTCTAGGAGCATTATGAGTACAAATATGATCTCTCAACTTACCAGATTTATGAACAGCCACCTCCACCAAAGGTGGGCTCACCCGCTTACGCTTCTGAAGCTGCTCCGTGACAAACTGACGGAAAAGGAGCCAACATGTCAGAGTGTACAGGAGCTGGAAGAAAGAAGGAAACCCAATAATCATGATTATTATCTACAGCAAAAGGAAGTCTCTTGCGATTCTACAGCAGTGCTGTGTTCCGTAAATGTAAGAGAGATAGATAGATTACTCACTGAGAATAAAGGCCATTGTGAAGACATCAATTAAAATATATGCTAATAAATATTTGTACAGAAGCGCAAATGTACAATATTCAAGATAGAACTGGCTAGGTTTAATATTAGATGGCAGAGACGAGTAGCCTATGGCATCACAATACAAGGTTAGTGCTTTCAATAAAAGGGAATCTAAATGCATCTTATCCCAAGAACAAACATTTAAAATTAAGTTTGGCAGTCGTTAGATTTGGCGGCTACATTAATATTCTTTTTTCAGCCTTTATTTTAACCTCCGTTATTTTCACGTGGAGATCCTGCCAGTAGCTCACTTCCTGTCCTAGGAACTCACTCACTATACTGTACCTATGGAGCATCAACATTGTCACCCTAGGACAGGAAATGTGTTAGGAGTACAGAACACCTCCCCCTCTCCATCACATATGTGGGGCTGTAGTCCACATAGGTCAACTGGGCAAAACTTCTACCAGGCCCTCCTTACTATCTTGTCTTGAATTGTATTGTGATTATTCCTTATATTGTAAAGCACTGCGCAAACTGCTGGCGCTATATAAATCCTGTATAATAATAATAAATCCATGTAGACTGGTGACCACAGGCCAATCTGTCTTTGTGGTTAAGTGTGCTTGCTCTGCATTTTTGCATACTGATCTTGTGATAATTGGTCTCTTTTGTTCAGTGCAGCAAAAAAAAGTGTTTAAACTGACAACCGAGATGTTCCAAAAGGTGGGTGATGGCAGCCTATGCATTTTTATAATAAAATGCTTCATTTAAGAGTCTCAATAAACATCACTCCTGCACTAGGGGTTACTACACTTTACAGTACAGCTTTGCTTACTGAATAAACTCAACGGACTAAAATCTGTGCAGTGACCTTTGTTCACTGTATGGCCACAGCCTAGTGAACCAAGACACATTTCTGCTAAGATGAGCCATCATTAAAGTGACAGTTCATTGCAAAAAAACCAAACATTATCTAGTCTGCAGGTTCACTATGAGTGAAGGCTGGTACGAAAAGGGGGCTTACCATAGTGCCAAGGTTAAGGCATGGGTAAGGGGCTCGTTTCAGTCCCAGCTGAGAGAGTCTCATAAAGCCGAGTCGCGTTGGCAGCTCATTCTCCAGGTCCATGCTCCAGACGTACTGTAAACTGCAGAGTGTCATGGCGTAGAGAAGGATGAAAGGGGAGCACAGCATGGCGAACTGGCGCCGATTTCGAACCATCCAGATCAGGCAGGCCCAGAGAAGGAGAACAAAGGTCAACCAGCTGTGATAGGTGATACTCCAAACCTGTCAGATGACAATCATATAATTGTTAGGTTTAAACATTTTGCTTAAAAGGACTGAAACAACTGAAAGTAAAAGAACACCACTGCTTTTAACTCCATTTTAAAGTAATCCCGCACATTTCTAAAACGCTTTAGTGTGAGGAAGTGGTTACTTCCAAAAATCCTCCAACCTTTTCTTCATTGGTGGGTCACAGGTCATAGTGCAAGACATCTTCAGATCAGATATACTGTCACTATGCATTGGTCAGGTATACAATAGTGTTAGATAAGAAATACGTTTTATTATACACTGCCTGGCACAAAAAAAAATAGTCACACACTCTAATATTTTGTTGGACCACCTCTAGCTTTGATTACGGCGCACATTCGCCGTGGCATCATTTTGATAAGTTTATGCAATTTCACAACATTTATTTCCATCCAGAGTTGCATTATTTTTTTCACCAAAACCTTGTAGTGATGAGACCACTGCATAAAACAGTCACATCCTAAAGATTCTCAATGGGGGTCAAGGTCTGGGCTCCGTGCTGGCCAATGCATGTGTAAAAATGATGTCTCATGCTCCCTGAACCACTCTTTCACAATTTGAGCGCAATGAATCCCGACATTGTCATCTTGGAATATAGCAGTGTCATCACGTAAGAAAAAAATCCAACGATGGAAAAACCTGGTCATCCAGTATATTCAGGTCGGCAGCTGACCTAATTTTTTGGGGACATAATGTTGCTGAACCTAGACCTGTCCAACTGAAGCAACCCCAGATCATAAAACCGCCCAAGTTCTGGTGGTGACTTTTTTCGGACAGGCAGTTTAGTAGAGAAGGGAAAGAGGAAGGGATGTCACTCTCATGTCAATTGCACACTCGTGAATCAGTGCTGAACAATATTTGTTAATTAAATACACAGCATTCTCTCTGCAGCTGATTTCTAACCAAGGTATGTTGGAATTTGTAGTCTGATAATAGCTAGACAGACATAGATGGGCAGATCTTAAAATGTATGAATGCTTTTTTAGATTTGGATAGTGTAGGAAAGGATTTAAATCCAGTCATTTTTTTGTGCTGACTAAATCCCATTACTTCCCGTCCTGGAAACGAGGAGAATTCGGCAGTTGTCACCGGAACAGCTAGTCTAGCTCTAGTAAAATGTTGGATTTCCCATCACTTTAAGGGTTACCAAGACAAATACAAAGACTGCAATAATTACCTGACAGGGGGTTCTATGTAATCCTTCCCTGATGAAGCTTTTGAGAGAT